ACCGGGGGTGGGGGTGGGTTTCCAGGGTGGGAAGCCAGATGGAGGGAGACAAAATCTTGACAACAGGAGGAGTGGAAGAAAAGGTGGGTGGGTGGGGGAAAGGAGGGGTCTCTTTGCTTGACAAAAGCTGTCAATTACCAGCGTCTGGTGTGGAACGTGTCTGCCTTTGTCCCCCCCAAGACATCTGCTGTGAGTCGCCTCCCGCCAGTTGGCCGGTGCAGGCCAGGAGAATGCCCGTGAAAGCCATCCGCCCCTGCTCTCCGCCTGGCTATTCAAGCCCTCCGTGTTCTTTCTGAGCCCAAACAATGACCTGGCAGGGTGTGGAGCTGAACAAGCAATGGGTTTAATGAAAAGGGGACCCTAAAACAAAACACAGCAGGGAGGCAGAGAGAGAGAGAGAGGGCTGGCGGCGGCAGCGGCGCGGCGGCACTTGAGGACACGGCTGAAAAGGAAACATGCTTCGCCCCCTCGAACGTATTCTAAAGCATGCTGGGGGTTGTCTTCTTAGGGATCGGATCATAAAGGGTCTCTTGGTCCCTTCTCGGGATGCTGCGTGGCTCAGTTCCTTCCCAAATCCGTTTTCCCCACCCCCGGTGTATTTCTGCTTTTCTTAAAGTGCGTGTCTTCCTTTCCGGCTCTCTCTCGTTCCCTGCCTCCCTTTCAGGCCGTCAGTTTCTGGATTGTCTTGTTGTAATACTGTGTGATGGTGGGTGTCAGCGGGTTCCAATTGTTGGCGTGCAGCTCTATGACCTCGAGGAGGAGGGACCGGGTCAGCATGGACTCCGAGGGGCACAGCATCTTGTCTCGGGCAGTCGCCAGCAGCTCCGTCATCATCTCGGGCAGCTGCTCCTCCAGAAGCCGGCCGGTGCTTTGCAGCTGTTGGGAACGAGAGATACAGGATGCATCAAAACCTGCATGCCCAAGAGCGCAAGGAGCACCCCATAGGAACATAAGAGACGCCAATGTTGGATCAGGCCAAAGGCCCATCCAGTCCAACACTCTGTGTCACACAGTGGCCAAAAATACCAGGTGCCACCAGGAGGTCCACCAGTGGGGCCAGGACATTAGAAGCCCTCCCACTGTTGATCCCCCCCCCCAAGCACCAAGAAGACAGAGCATCACTTGCCCCAGACATAAGAACATAAGAGAAGCCATGTTGGATCAGGCCAATGGCCCATCCAGTCCAACACTCTGTGTCACACAGTGGCCAAAAATACCAGGTGCCATCAGGAGGTCCAGCAGTGGGGCCAGGACATTAGGAGCCACTCCCACTGTCGACCCCCCAAGCACCAAGAAGACAGAGCATCACTTGCCCCAGACTGAGAGTTCCTATCTATACCTTGTGGCTAATAGCCAACCTCTGCTCCATATGTTTATCTAATTCCCTTTTGAAGCCGTCCATGCTTGTAGCCGCCATTACCACTGTATTGATTTATTAATTAAAATATTTATTCCCTGCCTTTCCCATGTGGCTCAAGGTGGCTTACTGTTCCAAATTTCAAAAAAATACCCAGTAAAAGAAAATGCCAAATAACTCCTCCCTGAAGAAAATGCCTCTGTGTGTGTTAAGTGCCATCAAATGGCTTCCAAATTATGGCACCCCTATGAATTAATGACCTCCAAAATGTCCTATCATTAAAAAGCCTTGCTCACATCTTGCAAACTAAAGGCTGTGGCTTCCTTGATCCAGTCAATTCCATATCATGTTGGTAAATCAAGATGGGCAGCCGTGTTAAGTCTATCCGCAGCAGTAGAAATAAAGCAGGAGTCCAGTAGCGCCATAAAAACTAACAAAATATGTGGCAGGGGAGGAGCTTTGTATCTGAAACCCTGAGCTGCGACTCACGAAAGCTCCTACCCTGCCGCCGATTTTGTTACTCTTTAAGGTGCTCCGGGACTCTTGTGCTTTTCTACTATATCATGTTGGGTCTTCCTCTTATCCTGCATCCAGCTTTTCCTCGCATTCTTGTCTTTTCCAGTGACTCTTGTCTTCTCATAATCTGACTAAAGTACGATAGCTTCAGTTTAGTCCATTTCGTTTCTAGGGATTGGGCCTAGAACTCCCTGATTTGTCTTTTGGGTGGTCCACGGTATCTGTAAAACTCTCCTCCAACCAGGGCCGTCTCCAGCTTATTTTGCACCCTAGGCGAGGATCCCTTATCCCCCCCGTGCGCCCACCAATTTTAAAAAATAAATGCATTTTAGGAAGAATGAAAAACACAAATAATCAAGAAACTCCCAGAGTATGGGGCCGGGTGCAGTTTGGTGCCCCTAAGGGCCGTCCCGCTCTAGGCGATCGCCTAGTTCGCCTAGTGAGTGAGCCGGCCCTGCCTCCAACAAATCTCAAAAGAAAACGCCTACGCCCCTTTTAAAAGCCCTTGTGAATATAATGCCCTTGCGATGCCTCCTAAAAATTTCTACGGGCAGTGCCCCCTGCCCAAACTTCTCAGGGAGCCTCTTCCCCAGGGTGGGGACTGCAAGAGAAAAAAAATAAGGTGCTCTTGCAGATGCTGTCTCCGGCTTACCCAATGCCAGCAAGGTTTTCAGGTGCTTTCTGGTCTGCTACTACAATGCCTACTGGTTGTGTGAATAGGAATGAGTACCAGGAGAACGTGTGGCTTGACTAATCTGGAGGAGCAGAAAATACTGTTTTGTGGAGATGCCCTGGTTGGACACTGGCTCTCTGTTTCCACCTTTGCAAAGTCGATGGGGATAAATGGATCCTCATCATTCGGCAGGGCCAGTTCCAAGTTTTGGGGCCCCCGGGCACAGAGTTCCCAAGGCCCCCTATCCTCTTCTACCCACCAGGCCCCCCTATATGCCCCACATTTCCTTCCTCCCACTTGCCTGTGTGCCTTTTCCCCTGACCAATCCACATGCAAAAGAACCTCCTCAGGAAACAGCCATTCCATATACAAAAGAACCTCCTCAGGAAAGCTCCTCTATTAGCATCAGGGCTTTTTTGGTAGAAAAAGCCCAGCCAGAACTCATTAGCATAATAGTCCACACCCAACAGCAGAAGCTCATTACCATATTAGGACACACCCTCATGCCTTCCCTTGGCTTGCCAGGGAGCCACGTGGCTGCGGGGAGCCGGGCAAGCCGGCCCTTGGACAGGCCGGGGAAGGCACGGGGAGGCATTTAAATGCCTCCCTGATCCTTCCAGCCCCCCCCCCCGCCCTTCCACCTTGGAGTTGCTGGGGGGGTCGCTCTCCAGGCCTTCCCTCTGTAGCCACGCACGGAGAGGTTTTGGCTGTAGTGGGCATGGCCAACTCTGAAGCCAGTCGGAACTCCGTTCCTGTGCGTTCCTGCCCAAAAATAGCCCTGGTTAGCATGTTCACAGCCAGGGGGACTCCTACAAGATAACGACTCAGCCCTACCCCACCTTCCTGAGTAGAGATAAATGACCTGCCTACCCTTTTCCTTCTCACCTTGACACAGAGAATACTCCGTCTTTCTGTGTTATACCTCTGAGGATGCCAGTCACAGCTACTGGCGAAACGTCAGGTCCTGCAACGCCGAGACCACGGCCAGGCAGCCTGGAAAATCTGCAACAGCCAATGAACTCCGGCCGCGAAAGCCTTCGACTACATATTTCCCCTGACCGCTTGTGAGCTCTTTCGCTGGCCCTGCTTACTGCTGCCTGCAGCCCTTTCCTCCGTGGTGCTGGGCAGTGAGCGCAGCTGGGAGCAAGGTGGAGATCGAGCAGATAATTGAGTGTGGGGGGGTCTGACAACAGTGGGCTCTGCCAGAAGCCCTGGGAGCCAGCAGCTGCCCCACCTCAGGGTCTACTGATGCCAGCCCTATTGTTCGGACTCAGTGACCCTTCCTTGAGAGCCCCCTGCCTAGATTCGGGATCTGTCCGTGAGGGAGCAGGATAAGAGAGAGCAGCCGAATATCCTACCTCCATGGAACAGCAAAGGACGGCGTCTTCCTTTATGTCCTGAGATTGCAACAACTGTGGAAAACGAAAGCAAACAAAAAAGTGAGGAGAGCATGCCGTTTTACAAAACTTCCCCGTGCTCTGATTCGCGCAGCTAGAAAAAACCCCTCTCTGCTTGCTTGCTTCTTCATCCACCCTTTGGCTACTTGGGAAAAGAAACAGGAGGAGGAAGAGGGTATTTTCTTAGGATGGGGATGAAAAATGTGGCGAAAGGGGCACCCAGGCTTTTCTCAGAAGCTGCGGCAACAGATACCAAGGAAATGTGATTTGCGGCTGTTATCCTTGTGGCCTGTTCTGAAATGTGAAGTTTAGCTGCTAGGACGGGACTCCGCTATTAGATCTTCTGATGTGTGATTCATGATGTAGTGGTGTGGTGGCAATATGGTGTAGTGGTTACCCAGCAGGGCTCTTTTTGCGACAGGAACTCCTTTGCATATTAGGCGACACACCCCTCATGTAGCCAATCCTCCAAGAGCTTATAGCAGCCCCTGTAAGAAGAGCTCTGTAAGCTCTTGGAGGATTGGCTACATTAAGGGTGTGTCCGCCTAATATGCAAAGGAGTTCCTGCTACAAAAAGAGCCCTGTATGGACTAGGATCGGGCGCACCCAGGTTGTAAGTCTCACTCTGCTCTCTGTGACTAGTTGCAGTGTCTCAGCTTGACCTACCTCACAGGACTATTGTGAGGATGAAATGAGGAAGGAAGAGCCATATGTACCGCCCCGACCTGGATAGCCCAGGCTAGCCCGATCTCGTCATATCTCGGAAGCTAAGCAGGGTCGGTCCTGGCTAGTATTTGGAAGGGCGGCCTCCGAGGAACACCAGGGTCATGACGCAGACGAAGGCAATGGCAAACTACCTCTGAAACATCTCTTGCCTTAAAAATAAGTCTAGCTCGCCACCTAGTGGTGCATAACGCTAAAAGAGGGAGAACTTCCGGCTGCCGGACAATCTTAGGATCTTCTGGATACACTCAGAGTACGCGGATCCGATGGTCACAGAGGCAATAGCAAGAATTGTGCTTAAATTCCTGATCTCTAACAATGAAGCCACCACTACACAAAACTTACCGTTTAATGCAGATACAATCCAACAGGTATAGAACCAAACTTTTTTGACACGATCCACATTCGATCACCAAAAATGAACGGAAGCCTTTATCAAACTTTATCGATGCCTAATCATTGTAAAATACAAGTCTTTTAAGCAATGTAGAGCTTTCCCCAGTGTCAGTAATCATGGGCCAGGGAACCAGGGAAACACATTGAGTGTAATTCTCTTAGGACATGTTTTTTCCAGGATGTGCTGTTTTTAAAAAGAACGATGATTGATCAGGTGGCCATTCGTTACCTCTGACCTGGATGGCGCAGGCTAGCTCAGGCTCAGCTCTCAGAAGCTAAGAAGGGTCAGCCTTGGTTAGTACTTGGATGGGAGATCGGCAAGGAAGCCCAGGTTGCTAATAATAATAATTGTACAACATTGTGTGTAGTACAGCCAGGAGATCCTAAGATTGTCTGGCAGCCAGAAGTTCTAGCTCTTTAGTGGTATGCACCATTAGGTGGTGAGCTAGATTTGTTTTTGAGGCAAGAGACGTCTCAGGGGTGGTTTGCTAATTCTTGCCTCCGCATCACGACCCTGGTATTCCCTGGAGGTCGCCCTTCCAATTCCTAGCCAGGGGCTAGCTATGCAGAGGTGGGCAATGGCAAACCAACTCATTTTGTCTCTTGCCTAGAAAACCCTACGCGGTCGCCATAAATCAGCTGCGACTTGACAGTGCTTTCCACATCCTGAGTCATCTGGGAATAACCCAACAACCCTGCAAGGTAAGTTACAGGCCGAGACAGTTTTACTTATTTAAAACATTAACGATTGCTGTCTCCTACCTACTGGCCACCCATCTACCAGTAACCGGGCCATATCCCTCAGTATTAATGGGTCGGACTTTTCACCAGCAGCTATAACTACTGATGTTAAATGTTTATAATGTAAATGTTTTATTGTGTTTTAAACCTTACTGCATTATTTAAGATGATGTGACCCGCCCTGAGCCCACTCACGGGATGGGCAGGAGACAAATATGAAAAATAAATAATTTTTCTAAAAATAACATGGCGATTTGATACAGGTTGGTCAGTTCATGGTGACTGGGGGTGCAGCCTGGGAGGGCAGGGTTTGGGGAAGGGGGAGACCTCAGTGGGGTTATAACGCCAGAGTCCACCCAAGAAAGCAGCCAGTCGTCTGGAGATCAGTTGTGATTCTGGGAGTTCTCCAGGCCCCACCTGGAGGTTGGCAACCCTACAGCCTGACCAGTAGTCTGCACAGTAGGGATTGGAAGCCAAGTCTCTGTAGTTCATCTATTACGTCACAGTAGCTTTTCTTACTTGAAGTAGGCCGTATTGTAAGTCTTGCCTGCTAGATAAATCTCAGAACATGAGAGTATTGATATTGGCCACTAGAAACTACGGGTATAAGCCGCTTTGGGTCCCCGTAGAGTGGAGAGACGGAGTGTGAATGAAGTAAATATGCAAATAAATTCACGTGAAGCCCTTTGAACAATGTTGCTACATAGACGTTAAGTGTGGCTATTATGACTGGCTTCCCGTGATCACACAAGGGGGTAAAAAGCTTTCCCCTTTGAGAAGTACTGCAGATGGAACGCTACGAAAGGCCATGTGGATGGGCTACTAATCCACCTCTTGGCTAGAGTGCCAGAGGAGCAGAATACGCCCCTTGGTAACTCGTGTTCTTTGAGATAATCCTGCAAGGCCCTTTTGCTTATTTGAAAGACTGGCGGTGTTGTTCTAATGCTCAGTGGGCAGGATTAGGTACACTCTCATCGCTTCCTAAGAACAGAAGCAAACACGAATGGGAAAAGTTAAACAAAAAAACGACAGACCGAAGTGACTCAGGGAAATGCTTCCTGCAGTTTGGTTGCAAACTAGACTCTCTGGTCTTCAATAGGATCGGACAGGTAAGCTGAAGAAGGGCGCAGACACGCCAGAAGGTGCTTCTTGTAAGAAGCCGGGGTGACAAATGGGTGGACAGCGGGGCTCTTTTTGTTGTTGTTGTTGTTCAGTCGCACAGTCGAGTCCGACTCTTCGTGACCCCATGGACCAGATACCGCCAGGCCCTCCTGTTTTCTGCCGTCCTCTGAAGTTGGCTCAACTTAAACACGAATGGGAAAAGTTAAACAAAAACGACAGACCAAAGTGACTCAGGGAAATGCTTCCCGCAGTTTGGTTGCAAACCAGACTCTCTGGTCTTCAATAGGATCGGACTGGTAAGCTGAAGAAGGGCGCAGACGCACCAGAAGGTGCTTCTTGTAAGAAGCCAGGGTGACTAATGGGTGGACAGCGGGGCTCTTTTTGTTGTTGTTGTTGTTGTTCAGTCGCACAGTCGAGTCCGACTCTGTGACCCCATGGACAAGATCTCGCCAGGCCCTCCTGTTTTCTGCCGTCCTCTGAAGTTGGCTCAACTTCATGTTTGTTGCATCTATGACACTGTCTAACCATCTCATCCTTTGCCGTCCCCGTCTTCTTTGACCTTCAATCTTTCCCAGCATCAGGGTCTTCTCCAGTGAGTGCTCCCTTCTCATTTGGTGGCCAAAGTATTTGAGCTTCAGTTTCATTATCTGGCCTTCCAGGGAACAGTCAGGGTTGATTTCTTTTAGGATTGACTGATTTGATCTTCTTGCAGTCCAAGGGACTCTCAAGAGTCCAAGGGGCTCTTTTTATTAAGGAGCAAAATGGCTGCCATTATGGGAGCCCAAAGGGCCACCTTTTGTGGAGACCACCCAGGGTCAGGCGGGCAGTGGTGGTGGTGGTGGAGGAGAATCTGTTGGCATTTGCCTCTAAATGAGACAATGTCAATTAATCCAAACATGACTTTTTCTCCATGGGGTTGAATGGCATCTCTCATTTACACTGCAGAAAGTAAAAAGGGATATCCTAGTATTCTCTCTGTGTGTGTGTGTGTGTGTAAACCCTCCCCAAGTCCTGTCAGACCCCAGATCTTTTAGGAATGGGACCTTTGCTACCCCAAACAGTCTTGCTGATTACATCCTGTTCACTGTGTCCTATGAAGGCTGTGCCGAATCTTCGAAGGGGAACGTTTTCGGTATAAAGCAAGACAGCGTCAGGGGCCTCAAACGTTCTCCGAAAGACACCCCCCCCCCCAAAGTTATCTGTTTTATCAGGGCTTTTTTTGTAGAAAAAGCCCAGCAGGAACTCATTAGCATAATAGGCCACACCCAAACGTTCTCCGAAAGACCCCCCCCCCCCAAAGTCCCCCAAAGTTATCTGTTTTATCAGGGCTTTTTTCGTAGAAAAAGCCCAGCAGGAACTCATTAGCATAATAGGCCACACCCAACAGCAGAAACACATTAGCATATTAGGCCACAGCCCTGACAACATAGCTCATTAGCATATTAGGCCACACCCCACATGTTACCAGAAGTGTAGTCATCCAACCACACCCACCTTTTGCTTCTTATTCTGTTTACTTTGTTGTCAAAACCCTGGGCTTTTTTTGTAGCAGGAACTCCTTTGCATGCCAGGCCACACACCCCTAATGTAGCCAATCCTAATGAGTTTCTGCTGCTGGGTGTGGCCTATTATGCTAATGAGTTCCTGCTGGGCGTGGCCAACTCGGGAGCCAGCCAGAACTCCGTTCCTGTGCGTTCCTGCCCAAAAATAGCTCTGCATTTTCTACTGTACTCGTTTGCATCCGTTTGCTATAGAAATGAGACGGAACGAAGGCATTACCTCCCTGAGGCAGGTATAAATGGGGCAGACGAGGACTCGGAAGGGCTCCCCCGTGCTGCTCCTCATGGTCCCGAACACCTCGCAGAGGAAGGTGATGAAGCCCAGCCAGCGCTCCACGTCGCTCTGCTGCAGCTCTTCTCGCCTCGTAAAGTCTTTCTGCGCAGAATGAAACACAGCAAAACAAAAAAAGAGGAGACAGGTAACAGAGGGCATCAAGGGAAGCGAAAATCACCGTGTCTGGGAGCAGGGCGGCAGCTCGCAAAGAACGACACCGAGGGAAAGCCGGAGAGGGCCCGAGTAGGAGAGGCAGCTGGCTCCACGACAGACACGGCAGACATCCATATCAACGGACGGAACACAGGTTCTGCAACAGGGCCTGTTCTAAATTTTGGGGGAGCTCCGGGCACAAAGTGCCCAGGGTTCCCTTCCTCTCCTCCGGCTACCCCCGTGCCTCCCCTCTCATGCCTCCCTTCCCACCCACTGACCCACAGGCCTGTGCATCCTTCCCCCACCCCCTCCCGATCCCTCTCACCACCCACACTCACAGATGCATGTAGTGATGGCCACAGGCACAGACCGCTCTAAAAGGGGATTAGATGGCTTCAAGGAGGAGACTAAATGCCATGGTGACTAAAGGGAACGGCCACATTCAGAGGCAGTCAGCCTCTGTATTCCAGTGCCAGGAGGCAACATCAGGCCTCTATGCCCTGTGGTTGGCCCTCCAGAGGAACTGGCTGGCCCCTGTGTGAGACAGGATGCTGGACTAGATGGACCACTGGTCTGATCCAGCAGGGCTCTTCTTTTGTCCTTATGAAGGCCTCGGCCTCCATGCCCTGTTGTTGGCCCTCCAGAGGACCTGGTTGGCCACTGTGTGAGACAGGATGCTGGGCTGGATGGACCACTGGTCTGACCCAGCAGGGCTGTTTTTATGTTCTCACGCCCATTTCTTGACAATGCTGGGTAGTGCATGCAGCTGTCAGCATGGATGCCACAGTGTTTGCAAGCAAGCAGGCAGGCAGCAGGGGAGGTAGGTGGTCAGTGGCAGTGGCGAATGCGTTCATTGGAATTTTTATCTGACCCGCTCCACAAAGGAGTTTCAGACTAGAATGCTGAAGGTCCACAGAATCATTGGTTGTGTTCAGACCGGTAGTTTGACGTGACACAGTGCTGCCTCTAATTGAACCAGTTTAAAGTGTTGCGGGGCATATCAGCCACACAGCACACCCTGCTGCGGGTTATGCACGGAGACATCCTGTTGTCAAGCATCCACATTACTGCAGCGCCTCAGCCATGGAGCGCACTGCAAAAAAAGTTCAAAATTCATGCACGTGCATACGTGTGCATGCGCCGCCTATGCACATATGCATGTGTGTGCATGCACATGCATGCACATATAGGCAATTTCCCCCTCCCTAGTGGCAGAACGGATTTGCAGGTTCAGACTGCCCAATCCGTTCTGCGTGCACTCCGCCGTGTTCACACATCGGGCCATGTGCAATGAATGCGCAGGGAAATAAAAACATCACTTTGGAGGTGGTGGCTTTTTAACTCCGCTCCAAGCCGTCCTCTGACAGGGTGAGTACGCCCGGGGAAGTGCCTGACAGTTGTGGCTGTGTGACCGGGCCCATTTAATCCATTTGTGAAATGTGCCTCTATTGGGCCAAACTGCCAGTCTAAACGCAACCACTGAATCACAGAGCTGAGATCCTGCTCCATGCAGGATCAGCCTCAGCTATCCCTGACAAGTGTTTGTCCAGCCGCTGCTTGAAGATTGCCAGCGAGGGCCGTCTTCCAATTCAGCGGTATCACCTGACCACTGGCTTTTATTCCTCTCCTGCTTCTGTTGAGGCTCATCATTGGGTTTTCAGGTGCTTTATTTGCAAGGTATTCTCTTCGTCCCTTTACCCCATCTACAGTTCCTTCAACCAACACAAGTCAATGTGGCATGACTCGCAGGGCTCTTTTTGTAGAAAAAGCCCAGCAGGAACTCATTAGCATAATAGGCCGCACCCAACAGCAGAAACTCATTAGCATATCAGGCCACACCCTGACAGCACCGCTCATTAGGCCGCACCCCCATGTTACCAAAAGTGTGGTCATCCAGCCACACCCACCTTTCCCTTCTTACTCTGTTTACCTTGTTTGTTGTCAAAACCCAGGACCTTCTTTGTAGCAGGAACTCCTTTGCATGTTAGGCCACACACCCCTAATGTAACCAATCCTAATGAGTTTCAGCTATTGGGTGTGGCCTATTATGCTAATGAGTTCCTGCTGGGCGTGGCCAACCCAGGAGCCAGCCGGAACTCCGTTCTTGTGTGTTCCTGCCCAAAAATAGCCCTGGGCATGAGCATTTTATCCCTGGGCTAGGGTCTCTGTCTTGGACACAAATGGATTCCAGAGAATGGGTTTTTCCCTGAGGCCTGGACACACAGTAAGGGGCAGCCTGTTAAGGTATAACTAGCTATGCCGTTGGATCCATCACCTGCAGGAGTCTCCGGACGCCTTCTGATTTACCCCAATGTTCCTCTTTCCCAGTCCCAAAATGGCCCCTAAGATCTCAGCTTCCGGGGTAAAACAGTTATCATTGCACTACTGTCTCCTGCAATGGGCTACATCAGCAGGCTTTGGAAGTTGTGATGCACCGTAGCATTTCCAAGGCATGATTGCTGGCTGTTCAGGATAACTGGGTAGGTGCAAGATTATGAGTTAGACAGCAAACAGAAACAGCCGTGCTAAAACAAATGTGGCAGAAAAGGCATGTATTCATTTTGTAGATTTATCAATATATCTTTTTTTTTTTAAGTAGTTTATTTTGATTTTTACATCATATACAAAGTAAATATGTTAGTTTCACAACATTTTTGGAGCATCTTATCCATATATTTCTAACCATCTATCTAGTTTCTGCCATCTTTTCTTAAACACATTATCAAATTTTCCCGCCAGTAACGTATTTATTTTGTCCATTTCTTTTATATCCATGATTTTTATAATTAAGTCTTCTCTATCTGGTAATTTATCAGATTTCCAGCATTTTGCTATAGCTATTCTAGCGCTTGTGAGAATATAGAGTATCAAGCGTGCATTGTTATAATTTATTCTGTCAGGCAAGATGTTTAGTAAATATTCTTAACTAGGAAAAAGGCCCGTTGTGGAAATAAATACAACGGCCTCTAGAAAGAGGCTCTGGGCCTCAGTGTCAATTTGCTGTGGTGACTTCAGCAGGGTATAATGACACTAAGTCCACCATTTTCTCCAGAGGAACTGATCTCTGCTACCTAAAGAACAGTTGTAATTTTAAGTGATCTCCAGCCCTCATCTGGAGACTGGCAACAATGGTTCCCCAGAAGGGAATGGTTGGTTTGGAGGGTGGAATCTATGGCTTTGTACCTGTCCGAGGTCCCACATCTCCTGAAACCTCACCCTCTCCAGGCTCCATCCCGCATATCTCCAGGAATTTCCCACCTGGAGTTGGCAACCTATCTTCTTTGCAGCCAATCATCAACCTACCTTTATTTTCCCCTCACTCTTCAGCTTTCCACCCCCCACATACCTGCAGCCTCTCCCGTGCTCTGAAGCCCTGACTGCTACGTCACATTGGCTGTCATACAGGGGCCACCTCAGCAGCATATAAGGATACAGAGCCCACCATTTTCTCCAGGGGAACTGATCTCTGCCATCTAGAAAGCAGTTGTAATTCTGAGTGATCTGCAGCCCTCACCTGGAGATTGGACACATTTTACCTCAGAACAGAAAACTGTTTAGAATGTTAGAGGCAAAAGCCAATTAAGTCGCATATGCAAATGACCTCTGTGTTCTGAGGCAAAGGGCAATAAGGCTGCATATGCAAATAACCTCTGTGTTCTGATTGGCTATGGGGGGGGACAGTAAACTGTTTAGAACGTTGGAGGCGAGACTCAAGCAATGCAGCCAGTGGATAGGGACAGATTCTGAGTGACACACCAGGGTGCCAACCAATTCCGGAGCGTGTGGAATGTTCTAGAGAAGTGCCACCACCATTCGGCTTTTATATATAAGGGAGATTCTCAACCCAGCCAAATCTGAGGATATTTAATTCTGGAGACTAGAGACATGAAGGGACAAGACAAATTTTTCTACAAACCTGAAAAATGACCCAGGTGTGCATAAAATTCTGAAATCTAAATTTAAAAATGGAGGAGGGTTGTTTTTTTTTTTTTAAAAAAAACCCCCAAATGATAAAAGTAGCAATTGTTGCTTTAAGAAACAAATGCCCTCAGTAGCTGTTGCTAGGCAACCACAACAGTACTGCCAGCATTCCATACTTGATTTCTTTCAGTAAAAGGTAGGGCCCTTTCTGGGGTTGTTTTGGCTTTTGAGAGAGGGCTCAGCAGGGGAGAATCTATGGAGGCTTATAGGAAAGGTAAAGAAGCAATATCTTTAATCCACCATTTTAAGAGCTGTGACGCATAGAGTCAAAAATAGAGAAAAGCTACAGAGAAACTATCCCTTGCCCAAACAGGGTCATTTCTGACATTCCATTTGTTAACAGAAATACAGCAGTAAGCATTTACATTAATTTTTTTCATGTAAAAGCTTGCTTAAAGGTAGAGCGCAGCTCACATATTAAGGCAGTACACTGATCATATATTAAAAAAGAACTGGGCAACAATGAGCAATTACTGGAGATAATTTTAACTTAATGCAGGGAGACATTTGTAATTACGTGCATCTGTTAAAAAACTGTTTACTATTTGTCAGCAATTTGCACTGTGGTCACTTGTCAGCGGTAGTTTATTTTAAAATAGCCATAATTTTTAAAAGCAGTATGTATGGGAAAGCTTCAGAGATTCAATATCTGGTTTTGGTTGTTGGCTGGAGAATGCAGTTCACCAGTGAGTCACTCCTGTAATTAAAATTTTAAAATGGGAAAGGCTTTTGCCTGAGTCTACCTGTGTGAGTCAGAGCTTGGTTATACCTTAAAGCCGTCATGAGTCTGCCAACCAAAATGGCACCCGCATGGTGAGTTCTCTCCCTCTCTGCCATTCTTGCCTGCTGCTGTTATGGTGGTAGAGAAGTAAACTAAAAAAAATCTGTCATTGGCACAACATCAAGCCACTCTAGGAATCACCAGAAACTTTATAGAGTTTCTGGCAATTCCTACAGTAGCATCACAC